AAATAAATAAATAAATAAATAAATAAATAAATAAATAAATAAATAAAGGCAATGCAGGAGTAACTGAAACATATTTTCTTTGTCACTGAAACTAAAAGGAGAACAGGTAGCACTGTGACAGATCCCAGAGTACAGCTGTCAGGGTGTGCCTGTTCCTCCCCACATTATTGAGATTGCCCTCACTGCAACTTGATGGAAATAAGATCCATTGCTTAATTCAAGGAGAAGCCATTCCTTAATTTGCAGGGGAATCGTGAAGTACACTCTCAGCTGCTTCCTCACACTTATAACAGCTGCTTTCCCTATTTGCTTTAGATGAGCCTGAGGGGGGGGGGGTAAATGAGATCTTGTCTTAGAGCTTTAAGCTTTGATTTAAAAAGAAAATATGCATTTTTGCAGATAGCCGAGTTGCCCAGATGACGGAATCACAGGATTAAGCTGTGCTGACGTTTGGTGCAAACCTGCTTGGATATGAAGACAAGGAGCAGATTCATGTTTCCATGGTGTGTTCACAGTCACATGAAGATTTCTACAATTTTGTAGTTTCTAATGAGGTCTGCAGTTTTGCACATGGTGTTGACTGATTTTCCCAAGCACTTCTTCGGCTCTTGGACATTTTAATGAAAAAGCACACAGTCCTACCGTGCGTAAGAGCTGGCGGAGTTCAGCCTTTCCCTGTAGATCTCTGAGACCTGGAGTATTAGGACTGCTGACGTTCACAACCAGGTAGTCGGCCAGCGGGCCCAGCGCTCTCACCCCCTCCGTGTAATCGGCCCCTGCATCCGTAGAAAGCTTGTTCTTCCCCAGGTTGATGCCCAGGGGAAGGCCAGCTAGAAACACAAGGGCACACGAGCACATGTATAAACAGACTCGCACACCAGTAGGGTTGAGGTACACACAAAAACAGGTTGCATCATCAGATACTTGACTGAACTGGGGCAGAGAATACTGATGCGCTAAAGGAGCTGTAAGCCAGAAAACGTGACACAAGGACAGGTCATGATCATTTAAACGGTAAAAAATATGAGAAAAAAAAGGCGGGCCAGGTCACATTCTGTTTTTGGTGCCATGTCTACATTAAAGACACAATATACACAGATGTTTAAATATGGGCTCATATGAGACATCTTGTAAAGGGAAAAAAGAAGAAAGCAGCGAATAGGTGATGAAAAATAACAGCATAGTTTAAAGACCCACTGACTTTTGCTATGCTCCTGCTGTGTTTCCTCTCTTGCCTTTAACCTCTGCTGTACTTCTTCCAGTCCACAGCTGTTAAATCCATACCTGAACAGGCCACACATTTGAAGAGCAGGTTATGTAAACATCAACCCACAGCTAAAAGTAAAAAAACAAGAAATAAAGACATTACATTTTTTTATTTGATGTCGTCTTTTTAAATGTCCCTTGACTACGGCAATAACACAAAAAACACGAAATCATCTCAGAACCTGTGAAGAGGGAAACATGGCTGCTGTTTAGGGGTCTGGAGTACGTTAACTGTCTTTCGTCATTTTGGCCTCTGACTGAGAGGTGACAATAAGTGAACAAGGCTGTAAAACTGAAGAATGATAAATGAGATCTGACAGCACAAAAAGACCTCTCTTCTAATCATACCTGTTGATAATCCCTTGGTCTGCCGGCAGTCGAAACACACGTGGTTTAGGGTTCCCGTCCTGAGGCTTTGGAGTGATTGTCCCCACCTCAACAAAGCCAAAACCTACTTTGTACAAGCCATCAACAGCCTCGCCATGTTTGTCGAAACCCGCTGCAATCCCAATGGGGTTTTTGAACTTTAATCCAAGTACATTCACTTCCTGTAGAAACAGCAAAGAGGACAAAGTTTTACAGAGTTCAGTGTAACCTCATAGTGTCCAGTCGCCTAAGGAGATGAGAATTAGTTTACCAATGATGCAGGGTCCTGGTAGCGGTTCAGAGGAACCAGACCCAGTCCTATCATCTTGACTGCCAACACGTGTGCCGTTTCTGGCCCCACAATCCTCTGCAGCAAAGGCATAAGATGGTTGGCATAGAAACGCTCATCTCCAATCCCAGTGAGGTAAGAGGCGAATAAAAGGCTTCCTGCGCTGATGACCTTCACCGCCTCTTTAAACTGTTTCTGTTGAGGAGGGAAAAAACATATTTACAGGAATTTAATCAGGTTTTCTTTATATGAAAAGAATTTGATGAGAAAAAAATAATAATAATCAAAACATAAAACAACTGAGTGAAACTCTACATTCAGTGTATTGTCAAAGAAACACTTCAATTTACAAAATTGACCGAGTTTCCAAGCAAAGTCAACCTGTATATCCTTGAACAAAAAAAGTCGCACTCAGTGCCATGCAAACCAATAATAATTGACTTCACAGTCCTGTGCTTTCAGGCCACCCAGGGACATGTCAAAATGTCTGCTGTGTAAGCCTTGCATCTTCAGAGGTGTGTTGTAATGAAATCAAGTGCATGATTGTAAAACCTCAACACAAAAATAAGATGCCATTGACTTTTTAGTCCACACAGAGACTGGGAAAGACAAAAGTTGCTCTCAACCACAGCAAGAGGTTATGGGCTAAGTATATTCTATCATTCAAAGTCACAATCTCATAGCTCTTTGTCTCAAGAAAGTCTTTCAGGGAGTGTCTAGCTTCAACACTGACAACCACTTTTTGACATACTATATTGCTAGTTATCATAATTATTGGGAAAGTTGAAATCTCAGTTATCTCATCATAGATTAATAAAACTTGTGCCACCTCTCTTTTTAGGTCAACACAAAAAAAATCTCCACTGTCTTCAAGACAAATCTGTAAACATCAACTGTTTTTTGGTGCTTGGTGGGTAGATTACAGGATGTTTGGTCAATCTGTTTTCGGAAGACGCACAAGACGAAGCTTTTAAACTCAGCTTTTTTCATTCTGAACCAGCATGTAAAACGCTGTAATACACAGGGAGACTACTGCTTTCCACAAACTCTCATGCACCCCCCCCCCCCCCGCCCACCCCTCTGAAGAGCTGAAATGTGCTCTCCTGTCTCAAAACACTTACGGTAAGAGGCTTTATTCTCAAAGCAGCAATTACATAAAAAACAGAAGGTTTCCCATTCGTGAGGCATCAAGTTAGTGTGAACAATGTTGTTTTTACAGAATGTTTTTTTTCCCAGGACACCAGAGTGTGGAAAAAACATCTTTGTGGAAACTGCTGCCTGTGAGGAGTCACATCAGGTTAAAAGCTGCCCTGTGGCCCACATTTACATTCAGATTGGTGTTTTGCACAGTTGAATTTTATCTCCACCATTAACAGGTTTTTGTTTGGTTTATCAAATTAGCATAGATGCACGTATATATCTGTAAAGCTATGGTCGTCCCCATCTACATGTACATGAGCAGAATCGAGTTATGTACCGAGTGAGAAACCACGCAATACATTATATTAAGTTTCTTCTAACTTTCTAACCGTAAACAATAAAGACAAATATGTGAGGATGAACTAATTACACTTACTTATTGTGACGAAGAGGAGGGAACTTTGGAGCATTTAATCAGAAGTTAAAATGCTTTTCGAAACATCAGTTTATGTTATTGGTTTGACATTTTTCTCCGAACCAAACAAATTCTCAGTGTGGGCTGAATGACCAGAGTCCTTGAAGGGTTCTATGTACATCAGCATCTCTATTTCTCAACGCGAGCTTGTGATCTAATCACAATGGTCTGAATAGGGTCAATGGTGAATTCTGTTGTAAGAACAGTTTCGCAAGCCCTGGCATATTATGAGTTTCTTTGCAGTTTTTCACGTGTAATGCATCTCCACACAAGGGACACAGAAGAAAGACAAACTGATTCAATAAGGAGTTGTGTCAACAGCATACCTTTCAATAATTTCTCCCCCATTACAATAGATTATGAGTTATTGGCAACTCTAGATAAGAGTGTTAAAAACAGGTCAAAGCATTGTTTGCTGCTTTAGAAAAATAACTTACAACTGTGGGTGACGTAACAGCAAATATACCACTCAGTTTGTTTTGAATGAAGCAGTTATCTGACAACAGATGGGTGAAATGTTGTCATCTCTGGAGCAAGCTACAGTCACCTCTCTTAAACTAATACAGTACTAAACTGCCACTAAACGTGGTATATTCCTAAAAATAAGCTTTCACATGCAACCTTCGTAAGACCAAAGCACTTCGCTACAATCAGTGTTAACATAAAGAAGTCACAGCTGAGGATTCAATACTAGCCTACTCTACTCTGGTTTGTTACTACTTAATAAGGAACCAAGAAACATTTTTTAAAAGAACACAACCACCATTACAAAATACAAAATTCTGCAAAAAACATTATAACAATGTCTAAAATTACCTTCAACTGTCCAGCCATTGACAAAATGTGTCATTGCATTAAAGGACATTGACTGCCTTTCCCACACGTTACACAAACACGCGCGCTGATAACTTCCTGTACATCTTCTCGCGATATTTCCATCCTGAGACTTCAACCAGATGATAGGAGTGACTCTGTTTAGGTTACGTCATTCCCAGACGTAAAGTAATAGCAAAGTATTTCTAGAAGTTAGATTTATCAGTGTAATATTTATTTTCTTTACATTATTATTTCTTATTTGCTCAATAATATGGCAGACTGGCAGACTGTCCAGGGTGTACCCCGCCTCTCGCCCATTTACCACTGGGATAGGCTCCAGTTCTCCCCACGACCCCATTAGAGAATAAGCTATAACGATAATGGATGGATGAATGGATGGATGGATGCTCAATAATAACAAAAAAGTTTTCAATGTTTCACCCAATGTCAAAATTCCTATCGATTGTATGTAGAACTTTAAGTCCCTTTTAATGACATCAAGTGATTTCAACACTTTGCATCTTGTTTGAGTGCCTGCAGTGATTTCCCTAAAGTATTTAGAACATATGCAGAGTTTCCTTCTTTTTACTTGAGAAAAGCTCTCTAATTTCCATGTGACAGACTGAAGTGGTCTTGTTCAGTTGCAGGTCCAACCACAGTCCCAGCAGCATTTTGTGCTGTAACTCTACACAGAACATCAACAATGGACATGTTGCTGCAAACCTCTATCTTTTTGTGGATTTTAGCTGGATGTCTATCCTTGCCTGGCAGGTCTGAGACCTGGCCAAACAACAACCTGTCAGCAGTTTGCAATTTTGTTTCAAGAAATGTCTGTTTGGAGTTTGTCGAGGAGTCAAAAACCTGGTCCGGAGCTGAGAGCAGCTGTGAAAAGAAAGGGGGGAAGCTTCTAAAAGAGCTCAACCTGATCAAGATCTTCCTGAGCAAAATCACCAGGGGAAGAAACTCCAGCAATATAAGTTTTTGGATGGGAGAAAGAGTCCAAGTTGAGTACAGGGAGCCCAATCAATGTGAGTGAAATATGTAATTGTAAGCTTTTTTCCCATAGTTTATTGTGCCGTCTTATTTGTGAATGTCAAAGCAGGGCAAAAAATCTATCTTATAAATCATTTTATTTGTTGGACAAGCTTAAAGAAGGGATGAAATTTAGATAAAAATGCTTTTCGGGTTATTTAATTTAAATAATCAAGCAAAGTTCATGCCGTGTTATAGAATTACAGGAACATGTAACAAAAAGCTGTTCTTAAAACTAGAGCAGAAATGAAACTGACATAAAGTAAAGTTTGTATCATTTGAATTTTGTCATGTTTGCACCCAGTATGGATTTAAATAATTTTGAATACCTTTCCTTGAGTGTTTTTGTTTTCGGTGATCCATTTTCTTGCAATGAAATAAGACCACATTGCTTATTGATTTCATAGTGAGATATTTATCATCCAAAAATACAAAAGAGATATAAGATAGATATGGAAGGGCTCAGAAGAAATGTAGATGCCATGGGTTTGGCGTGTCCTTGTCTTATATGTCATTATAATGTTTATTCATTGGAGGTTCTAAGAAACCTTTATTGTTAATTTGCATATCTACTGACATTTAATCTAACCTCTGAAAAAATCACTAAAAAATCAATAGAAAATTGCAGTGTTATTTGTGTTAATTATCAGGCTGCCTTCATAATCTTATAATTACACAATGACTCCTCAAATCAATGTTCCAAAAGGATGCTTTCCTAATACTAATTGTGTGTTTTGCACACATTTTCTTTAGCAGATGTTTCAAGGGAGGTCTGTGCATACATAACGCTGAATCCTCTACAGTTCCTAACATCAAACTGCAGCGAGAAACGAGGATTCCTCTGCACCCACAGTATGCAAAACAAAGGGATCACTGCTTGAACTTTTAAACTTTTTTCCTTTGTTTCATGTGCTCTTTTCTTTTTCAAATTTGATTAAACATTATGTTACCTTTACAGATGTCAGTATCTTTGTATTCTTAAATGTATTTCAACTTTGAAAGCGCTATATGTTAAAAGTATTGTTCTTGTTTCAAAGGCTTGCAGTCTCCATCAAGTACGGAGGTACGTGATACATTATTAGTAAGAAGTTAAACGTAACAGAATTAAGATAAGACTTTTTCCTGAGTTATCATTGTGCACCTTTTCCCCGTAGGACACATTTGTCTCCAGTGGTGCACCCAGATCTCGTAAGTTAGACCACAGTGTTGCAGATGAGAAGTTATTGTTCTCATTTGAGAGTCAGTGCGTGTGCTTTTTTTTCTCTATAACATGAGTAAACACACATTTGTTCTTTTCAGGATTCAAAAGGACTGCAGAAGAATTACATTTTCTTACGGTGAGGGAGGCCAAATTGTTTTCATTCAGGCTGGCTATGGCTCATGGATAATGGAGTGAATTGCATTGTACAGAAAAAAAGGACATTTGTCATTTCTCTCTGAAAGTTTTGCCGTTTTTGTGAGGCAGGTTGCTTACACGGAACTAAAACGAATGGAGAGGACAGAGGAGGAGCCGAAAGATGACAGCAGGGTGGAGATCTTCATTTTACTCCAACATTACTATTGTACCATTCCATCACTTCATTGCACGTCCTTAATTATATTCTCCTGGATGTCTCCTCTCTCAGAATAAATTTATTCAGAATTTGACGGAGGGTATACAAAAGCTGAACCAGGACAATATTAACGACAACATTGTCCAATCAGTTATTAATGCTAGCACGGGAATCCTACAACTATCAATTCATAAATGTGATGTTGATGCCAATCCTAACCCCCCAGTAAGTTCTCACCTGTTTCCTATCTGATATGCTAACACCAGTTTGTGTTTTATGGCTCTGACATTCAGAATCTTCTGCCTTGTTGCACAGAAATTGTTTGAGGATGTCTTGACCATTGTTCAGACTGTCTCTCGGCTGCGAACACCAGCATTAAATGAGAAAACTGTCACCAGGTACCCAACAGGCACCATGTATCAGAGCAAGTAGGTATTAGTTTTACTTTTCTTTTCAGTACCAAGCCTCTTTTTTAAAATTTTACATAGAAATTTGGTTTCCCCCCCATCAGTGTGGAACCCAAAGACCTCAGCAACGCAGTGCTGGGATCAGAGAGTGATGGGGATTATGTTAAGCTTCCGTCATACTCAGCACTGGCACCGCATCTTAAGAATTACAAAAACATAATCACACAGGTCTGTATGAGTTATCAGTTTGTGTATTTGGGTCATTTTGTCACCTGCAATCCTCTTAACAGAGATTCACTCATTCTTAGATGGCTACGTTCTCAAGTAATCCTCATCCCTCTGATGACAACATAACAGGGACTGTCAGCAATATTATACTGAGTGATGGAAAGTCAAACATTAAAGTGGAAAACCTATCAGAGATGATTGAGGTAAATAAAATGTTATGCGATACATTATTAGACTCTCACAGTACTGTGCTTTTTACTGGCAATCTTTACAAATGTGATCATTTTGCTTTTTTTGTCATGGAAGTTTCAGTGACGTGGAAGTTGTGATACAAACACTTTACCAGTGAATATATAATTATCAGTGAATGCATTGTATTGTATGTATGACAAACTGTTCAGTTGTTTCCATTCATCCTCTATTTGGTATTTACAGCTGACAGTTTGGACTTTTTATTCTTAAAAAGAAGGTCAGCAATTCTTTCCCACATTCAGCAGAGAAAAAAAACGTTCAATCACTCAGTTGTCAAATGTGAAATATACAGAACTAAATTAGATTATATTTTCTTTTTTTTAACTGAAAGAATCAGTAAACACTTTGTATGTATTGAGCTAATGCTTAGTTTTGCAATTTACTCGTTTGAATGAGTAAAAAGGTACACAAACTAATGCATATGTAAAGAACAGATAAAATAGATAACACGTATAGAGCCTTTGTCTTGAGCTTAAGCTCCAGTGGAAAAATGCCACTAGAGTCAGGTGGAGCCACCTGCTAGTTTAGTTTTTTGCACTTTTTGTGTTTATTTTCATACATTCAAATAAGGTGACGCAAGTTACAAAACAGATTCCAAACATAGCACCTAGTCATCAAAACCTGTATATTGTAAGTGTGTGTAAATGGTCAATACTTAGCATTGAAATAATTTTTCCCATTACTATTGTGTAATGTGACCTGCTGTTTTCTCAGATCTTCCTTCGTCGTCCAAATGATTCTTATGTGAGGAACAATACCGTTGTGCTGGAGAAAGGCATGCGATCCCTGACAGCATTTAACATCTCAGACATTCAGATGACCATCATCTTTGATGTAGTGCCCGATGTCAATGTCTCGCTGGCTCTGATGTTGTCCTATGATTCTCCTCCCAACTCTACATTTTACGACAGCAAAATCACCTTGAACGGAACAGGTAGCTGCTCACCCACTCTGCCGTCCAACCTGCCCTCTTCTGTTTCTCTGTGATGTTAAGTCTAGACTCTCAAGTTCAAGTATTACTTTCTTGTATAAATGTATGTTTTAATTGGTTTTCTTTGCCTTAGATGGCTATCGCTGGATGATAACACCAGAGATGTTACAGCAGGGCCCAGGGGTCTGGTATATTGACACCAGACTTGAAAATTCCCAGACTGAAACAGACGTTACTCTGGAAATCAGTTCTTACTCCGGCAAGTGCCTGTACTGGGACACAGAAAATGAGCGCTGGAGCGCCAAGGGCTGTATGGTGTGTAGACACAAACTAAAAACCCGCCTGTCTTATGGTGGCGCTGCATGTGCATTGATATTATTGTAGCAGGAATACTTGGTAATCACCCAGTGATGTGCTGTGTTTTCTCGCAGGTGGGAGACAAAAGCACTCCAATGGTTACACAGTGTCTGTGTAACCACCTTACCCTCTTTGGGAGCTCCTTCTTTGTGATGCCAAACCATGTTGACATATCGCGCACAGCGGAGCTGTTTGCCACCGTGTCTGAGAACTACGTGGTGCTGGCCCTGCTGTGCGCTTTCTATGGCCTGTACCTGGTCACACTGCTGTGGGCTGGTTATGCTGACCGCAGGTCGCGCTTTAAGGTTAGACAGCTCTAATAAAGCAAGTCTTTCATATCTGTTTCATATTGTGTTCTGCGTCAAGGAAACCATGGAGCTCCGGCCCACCATGCACCTTGAAACTTGTGCTGTTCTCTCTGTATTTGGAGGAGCATCTCAAAACTTCTGACCGCTGAAGATAACTTCATCCAACTCATTCTTATTGGTTCGTTCGTTGATACAGAGGAAGATGACTCTGCTGGAGGATAGCCACCCTGGAGCACTGTACAACTATCTGGTCTGTGTCCAGACTGGCCATCGGAAGAATGCTGGAACCTCTGCTAATGTAAGGCTTTCCTTTCAGTTAGGGGATTGTGTTTGGTTTTGTTGTTTTTTGTTTGTTTGTTTTAGTCCCATGATTATTATAAGAATATTTTACGTCTTTCTTCTCCAACGTTTAGAAAGGGTTACTATTAACGAATGATAAAACACTTATAAATGCATTTCCTGATGTATTTCATAATTTAGGAGTTGCAGTCTTACAGCAAAATGTTGAATTTTTATTTCAGGATTTCCATTGTTCAACAGTTGTCAACAATTGTCCTAACATTTCTTAATTCATTTTATTTGTTACTTAATTACCATACTTACATTTTGTCTTTAAGAGCTACAGTCGAGCTTTCATGGTCTTCTGTCACAGTGGTTCTCTGTGCTCTCCGACAGGTCACAGTGAAATTGATTGGATCAGATGGAGAGAGTAGCATACAAAACCTCACCGACCCTGAAAAACCTGTGTTTGAGAGAGGAGCCACAGACATGTTCCTTTTGGCCACGCCCTTTCCGCTTGGCGAAGTGCACAACATACGGCTGCAGCACGACAACTCTGGGGGTCACCCATCATGGTACCAGAAACGGAGCGATTTAGACAAAATAATACTTTTAAAACTGCCGCACATTTTTATGCTTTAGTCTTGCTAGTTTTCACACAAGTCAGATTTGTTTTTAATCACATTTTGTAACCTCTAACACCATTTATAACCTACAGGACAAAGTCCATATCTGCTTCCAGTGAGGCATTTTGACTCCTGGAGAGTTCATTAACTGATAAGGTGTGTTCTTTGCTCCATTAACTTTGGTTCTAAAAAGGTACATTAACAAGGTAACCATACAAGACCTGCAAACCCGACAAGTGTGGCAGTTCCTCTGTGAGTGCTGGCTGAGTAATGACAGAGGAGACGGCGCCACCAAAAAAACCTTCAATGCTGCAAAGAGCAATGAGATCGCCAGCTTCAGGTCAGCCACAGGGTTCCTCAGGCCGTTGATTTAAAGTGTCTCAGCTCTGAATGAAGCCTTGTTAAAGGATCGGCGCCACTGCGTGTCTCTGTTTTGTTTTTGTGTTTCTATCAGGAATATTTTCCAGAGCAGAACATCAACCGGTTTTAGGGATGAACACATCTGGGTGTCCATCGTGGATCCTCCCTCTCGAAGTCCATTCACGCGTGCCCAACGGGTTTCGTGCTGCATGAGCCTGCTCCTCTGCACCATGGCCATCAATATTGCCTTCTGGAACATACCCGTGAATAAGGACTCACCAGTGCTCTTCTCATTAGGTGACTGCACTTATGTCTTACATTGCTGCATGCCCTGAAGGGCAAGGTATTGTTCATGGGCGAGAAACTATTCTTTAGTGCAGTGGAGGTGTCTTCTACTGTCTGGTGATTATCACTCTACTCAGAGATATTGAGGACACGAGGTAACTTGCACAACAGGCTATTGTCTTTTGATTCTGTCCTGTGTCCACCATTTGTAGCTTCACATGTGAAATGTAAAGGGGTAGACTTTTGATGCTAATTTCTTCTTTTTTGTTGCGATGATGTCAGCAACCGGTTTTGTTAACCTAAACAACTTCAAAAAAGAGGAAAGAAGCATTTGTAGCCTCATAGAACGTTAAGTGACTGCAATACGCCATCATGTAAATCTACAAGCTGTTCTACACACAATAAAAGTTAGATAAGCATAGAAAAAAACTAAATAATGTCCCCCCTCCCCAGATTTACCCGGCCCTATTTTCCGAGGGAGCGTGTGTGTGATTAAAAGGACCCAAGTTTGCTTTATTTCTCACAGTACCCTCAGGGGGAAAGGATTGGTTGAGTTGGATTTGGGTATTGCCAACCTTATTTTGTGCAAACAAATAAACTAAATGATCTAAGGGAGTGAACCAAAATGTGGAAACAAATTTGACAGTGTTTTCTTTTTGTCCAGTGTAGTAAAAATGATCATTTTTTATATGTGGCTGAAGATACAGAGAAATGGTAAAATGGTTTATATTTATAAAACACTTCAGTCTAGTTGACAGCCTAGAGCCCTATAACACTAAAAACTACTTTAACTCATTCACACACACTCATACAACACTTTTTAGTCTTTACAGTGTTGCATGCTGCACATAGCTTTTTCCTTCACACATATTCACACATCAAAGGGTGAATCAGGGGCAATGCCAGGTTCAGCGTACTGCCCAGGGAAACAGCCCTATTCCTCCTTAGCAACAAGCCCCAAGCTTCAATAAGAAACATGAAGCAAAGGAAAGGAAATGTATAAAAGACTGTAGTTATATTAATCTGCAGCACTGAGGAAGGAAATAAAAAAGAAGTGTATATTAGCATGTTTTTTTATAGAAATAATTGTATTAAATCACTTTTAAAGAAAACTTGATCTATTTTATTCATCCTTTATTCAAGCAAACCTTCAACTTGTTTTAGTTTTTTCATATAGTTTACTTCAACAACATAATTGATTTTAACTGTGAAAATACATTTTTTAGAATGCTTAAAAGGGTTGTAACATGTCATTTTAGAGCATTGTTGTGTAACAGCACATGTGGCCCAAGGTTCCTGGTGCGGCAGCAGTTTTTTTGAAGTAATGATCCAAGATTTTTATTTAGTTGTTTTTTTCACATTCACTTTGTGTTCTTTGGGTCCAGGTTCATTGGAGATCACTTGGCAGGAAATTATGGTGGGAGTGCAGAGTGGTCTCCTTATGTTCCCAATCAACATCCTCATCATCACTATCTTCCGAAGCATCCGGCCTCGAGTGATTTCAAAATCAAAAATAGATGACTCCGAGGAGAAGCCCAGGCCCCCTGCAATCACGGTTCCAACTGTTTTGAAGGTGTGTGTTGTTCTGTTCGGGTTTGGCTTAGACTGACTTTTGATAGAAAATCTTTAACCAAAAATTATAGATAAACATTGAGTGTTCTGTGTTTTTCTTTTTCTATACAGGAAATAGAGGAGGTGATTTCTCTGGTCAGCAAGAGTCCAAGAAACAAGATGCCGGATGTGGTCCATCTTGAGTCCACTGCTGACCTCTGCCCTGCCCTGGACACTCTGCACATTCTCATTCAGAAAATGCAAGGTAGCCTAATATATACTCCATTCTACCAAACAGAAAAATAGAAAACAACAATGACTGTTTGCTGAAAAGTTCAAATTAAACAGCAGTAAAAGGATGACTACAACTTTATATAAAGAATAAGCATCACATGGCACAGATTACTACTAAATCCACATAGTTCCTCTCTTTCCCAACATACTCATATTGTCTATAATTTGTTGTTCCATGGTCATCTGATTTCCTTAGAACACAAATTTCATACTCTAAACAAGGTTTAGGACTAAAAAATTATACTGGCAGTGAGAAAAAAAAAGTGGAATTTCATGACTTTCCTTAAAATACCCCAGTATCTCACACGGCATTGAAAGGTATCCTCTCCTATTAGCAATTGAAATTTAGCATAATCCTTTCCTCATAAAGGAAGGAACTTCTGGCCCGGTCATGCGGCTGAGAGACAGAACTGACACGTTTTATCCATCTGTCATAGGCGAGACCGAGAGTAACAACCACTGCGTGTACTGCAGCAAGTTCCTCCTGGCTGGTCTCTGTCACCTCCTGATGTGCTTGGAGAAACTGGATGAAAAAAACTTCCCGAGTTCACAGGACTACCAGCAGGCCCTCAGTCTCACCAACCTGCTGGTCCGCAAGGCCGAGATGGTCTTCAGCAGCCACCTGTCTAACTGGTCACCACCTCTCTTACACAAATATATCAGCTGGTTTTAGTGTTGTTCTCTTCTGTCAACTTTCTCCAATCCCAATCCTCTTTTTTTTTTGCGCAGCCCCGCTCCTGTGAGGAAGAAGAAGAAGACGCCAGTGGGCTGCCGGCTCCCCTGGTGGTGCGTGTTTGTGGGATGGTTCCTGTTGCTGTCCATCAGTGGGATATCCACTTACTTCACCCTGCTGTACGGTTTTCAGTACGGCAGAGAAAAGTCCATCAAGTGGGTGATGTCACTGGGCCTCTCCCTCTTTGAGAGCATCTTCATCCTGCAACCCCTCAAGGTACCCGATAATTCGTGTTCGGCCGTGTTAATCAGTTTGTTTGAACGGCGGCTCTCTCGGTCATTCTATTTCCGTGTGGTTTTACTGCAGCCTGTCTGTGCTCACAGGTGATCGGCGTTGCTGTGTTTTTCGCCCTGCTGCTGAAACCCGTGGCTGTGGAAGACACCGAGGAAGTGGAGCAAGTGCTGTTGGGTAAGAAGAACATGACGCAGGCCAGGCTCCACTAGCAAACATTCACTTTTACAGCTTTTCTGCCTCTTATTAAAAGACTAAACAGGTGGAAACAGACGCACAGTGGATTTAATAACATATTGCATGTAAACAGTCAGCGATGAATAGATAACCCTTTGGGAGCTTTGGACATGCCCCAGATATCTTTGTGAACCAGTAAACTATGAATGTACATCAGTGCTTAAGAATTCTCAATTCAGCTTCTCTCAATGACACATTTCCTGTTTATTTTTTTCAGTGTTAGAAATTGTGACTGAAAAAAACAAGACCCCATAACATTAATTAAATACTTACATATACAATGATAAAGGTTAAAAGCAGCTAATTAGTTTAACCCGTTCAGCCTTATCACTGGACCAGATCAAACTTGATTTTGCTGCTGTTCATGTAACCATGTCAACTCATATGAAGAGCTGATAACACAGAAACTAAATCTCCTGCAGATCGTGCAGAGATTTGCAGGCTACACGGCTCAGTGACAGACCTGTTGCCTTTTAAGTGGAAGTTTTACTTTCCAAAAGAAAAACTACCTTGCATAGCCCCAAAATGTGTTTGTCAATGTCAAATGCAGGACAGTAAAGTTTAACCCCCCATCCCTCCAGCATAGTCTTCATAAAATATTTTTGTGTTGTTTGTTAATTCAAAGAGAAAGTTGTCATGAAATATACAATAATTTATATAACAAAAAAGCTTAAAAATCAAGCCGAGGATAGAAGCGTCTGAGTGTGAGTTAGCCTCAGGTGGCCTCTCAATTTAATTTTACACACAAATTTTTTATTCATGCATCATAAGGCGCAGAGAGGTTGCCTTGAGAATTTATTTCAGGTTGACTGCTGAGAGCTCTTATGTAATTATGCTTATCACACAGAAAAAAATTTGGTGACAGCTGCAGCTGAATGGCTCTTTTACTTTCTACTCCCTCCAGTGGCTTCTCAGTCTAAAGTGTACGAGTACGCACTTCCTTAAGCGCAAGGAAACCCAAATATTGTGTGTCTAACTGCAGTTTTTTTTTTTCTTCCATTTGACAGAGCAAGAGATTAAGTGCAGAGGATACACCGGCAGGGTTTCACTGTGAGGACGGCCAATTTAACAGGATATATATCGTTTCCTCTATAAGCACTGTCACCAGAGCAACCACTCACTGCTTTATCTCTAGTTCACGGGAATATTTACTTAATGAATATCACATCACATAAAAGATCCTAGTGCACAGATTATCCTCTTTCTGTAGTGATGATTCAGGGGGGAGAAGAGCAATTATGTAGCTGCCCTTAAAAGTAAGTTTGTCCTTGACAATGTATACGTATATGAAGTAACACTGCTTGTTTTAAAAAGTTGTGGACTCACTTTTCATTTCATGTCACCATGCAAAAGTAAAGTAGTCAAATCCATTGTTAAATTTAAGCTTTTAGGTGAGGTTTTTGTATGATTTTGAGAGGTAAAAGCTGTGTTAGATCCAATAAAGTTAACATGACTCATGAGTATTGAAATGGAGGTTAATACTAGAACACAAAGTTAACCTTGTCTTTTAATCTAGTCCTGCTTTTCACTTGGGATTAATTGTTGCATTATCGGTTTAATAAGATGGGCTGTTCCTTTGATACAAGGTGTACCCCACTTTTAAACGTAGTCTGGAAAAGTCAGATCCTTGTCACCCCAAACTGAACTAAGAAGGTATCAAAGATGGATAGAGTAATAACCTAAATGACTGTTAAAAAGCCCTCAAACAGGAGTTCCACTGAGTTCTTCTCTTTTTGGCATGAAAATTATTAACTCTCACAATGTCTGTAACTGGAGCAAAATTATCTCAACTTAACTCCTTTTAAAACATGATTACTTTCTTAAACCATAAATTACCTGGGAGTGAAGGCCTAGTGCTAATGGTGCATGAATGCACACTTTTGGGAATGTGCTCTTATGTAATTGTACCTATGGGAGCTAATGGTTAATTGATCATCTTTTCATTTAACTGACAACACTGTAATACATGCTGAAAGTGCATGTTGTGCGTTTTCATCACTCATGGCAGCTTCTGTGAGTCAGTCTATCGACTCTCTGAATGATTTATGCAACTCACCTAACTATATTTAAGTCAGTGCTTTCGGATTTAGAATAAAGGCACTCCTAGAAACTTGTCTTAGATTTTGTTTCTTTTTAAACAAAACATTACTTATTTGTTGGTTGATGTATCAATGCTGTATGTGGGAACTGGAATAAAGGGATTTCTGTTTAAGTTTCAAAGTATTTAGTGTGTGGCCATTCATTTTAAAGTAAGCTGTGACTAACAGGATATGAGGAATTTGTTTGAGGTGGCTGATTAAAACTCAAACAGCTGATATCAAATCCAAACATATTTGCAATCATCTCCTTGTGGGTACATTTTCCATTCAAAAACATCTCTGTCACATTTTCTTTGCATTCAGACTGATCAATGCGCAATTTCAAAACATTTAGTGTTTCAAACAACTTTTACTGATCATTATCCTATAAATCTCATGTTGTCATAACATTAAAAAAAGACAACTTGTGAAAAAATGATACACTGTTGTGCCACAGAGAATTGTACCTAATGAAATGAGTGTAACTTTTTGTTTACTTTCTGTGAAAAGCTCCCTGGGATTAGATTAGTAGTAACAAGTGTTAAATGAATTAAGAAAACAAAAATAAAATGCTGGCATTAAATTGGAAGAAAAAAAATCTTTCAGGTATCCAAACTTTTGGGTGCCAACATAGAAAATATTGTAGTTCTGACATCAAAATAAGAACGGCTTTGTAGGTTAATGTTTAATCGCCCACTTTGCTTCACGTGTATTTACCAGAGTGTCTCAAGCAAAAGACAGAAAAGTTAAGCAAACTGCGGCGTCACTTCACCTCGCAACACTGTTGCCAAGATGGTCGGTGTTGATTTCCAAACCAAATGATGTCCTTTACATGGATTTAGCTTTTATTTGCTTGAGATGACCTCTGCTGCATCATTGTTTTGTTGGCATAATAGGACAATCCTAAAGACAATAAAAAATGATCTACCATAGGGTTAGAATTGTGGTTAAATGCCAAACACTTTACAATAAAGACGTCCAGTGACACCCATCTCAAGTGTAGACTTGTGTAGTAATGATAACATTCTGCCTTTAGCCCCTTAATTCAGTTTGACTCATCTTTCTCAGCCATGCTTTACATGGCACATTGAATGAAGCCATAATTGAATAAAAAAGCCGGCTGAAGTCCTAACATCCATTTGGTTGTTTCCCTCTATCATTAAGTCCATAGAGTAAGAGGGGCAAAGGATTTTTTCATGGAAAATAAGTTGCATTCTTTTAACAGTGGTGATTTTTAGTCAGAAGGTCCCACACGTTATGAATTTTGAAACATTCACTCTGAAAGACTCTACTTGTTTAGGGAATTCTGTTCTAAAATTCTTATTTCTTTGTTTAAAGAAAACATAAAAGTTTCCAGCATTGATTCAGGAAATTTCTTGAATTATTCCCTCTATTGCTTTCCTTTAACATGAGAGACCCCTGCTGGTTCCCACAATAATTACACTACCTGAAAAAAGTGGAAAAAAGAATATTAGATACCCATATATCTGTTTTATGAAAACAGTGCAGACATCCTTCACAATGTTCCAGTTTCAAACATTATTTTATTGATATCTTAGTATATATTGTGGAAAAACTGATCATTTGTTTGTTTTAAAACAAGGTACAATTTTGTGTCCCAAGAGAGAGAGTGACAGAACAGTCCAACATAGAAAAGTTATTGAGAAGATCACAGCTCTGTAGCATTTATCATCTCCATTTCCTCCGAAAAATGTTAAATCTATAAATAAGCTGTGTACACCATCCAGCTGGGAAACCTCTCGTCATGCCTTTAGAAACTGCTGAATCATTTTACCCAAGGCTGCCATCCATTTGCCATGCAAGCAGAGCTGGGTGGGGTTAGGTTACAGCAATGCGCCATCTCTGTACAAACACAAAACCATCTTGCTCCCCATTTCCACAGGAAACAAACAGCCCTGCTGACAAAACTGATTTTTTCCCCCTCACATACAATGAACTTTCATTTCTTTTTTAAATAGAGATGTTCTTGTTGAAAATCAAATAATGTCAACTGAATAATGATAATGCAGATCCAGTCCTGTTGTTTAACAAACGTTTAATCCTATCAAAGACTGGAAAGGCCTCAGATGAGAGGTGATAGCTAAGGCAAATGCAGTGGTGCTTGCACACTAGATGACCCATGCCAATGGTCCCAGAGAATAACACAAAACTATCACCTTGGGGTAACAAATATGTCGCATCGGGCTGTGTGGTTGCTTTTGTCTGTGAGAACTCTTGGAACACTTGTAAATCCAGTACATTTTTTTAGATATTTGGTAAAACTGACATTCAAAAAGGGGGAGAAAAAGGTTTATTTAGAGATAGTATACTGCATATTAAAACAGATTTGTCAAATAATGGACACCTCCTTGCTGTCACACCTCATCCTCCGGTACAGGTAAGCCATCGTGTCTGTATTACTGTGAATGTATTCCAAACAGGTCCGTGTCCCTAGAGCTCAGGCGGATGAACAGGTATACCATGTGTCACCACAATCTCTTCTTGGATGACTCACATGCATGCCATTTCTGATAAGAGATGCGCCGCTGATGTTCGGAAGCCTTATGGGCGTTTCAAAACATCTTCTCCACAGTGACAAAACCACAGGGCTGCGCAGCACGCTGCAAATATGGCTTCTGTCTTGCCCGACACCTTAGTGAAAAACACTGTAGAGGTGTGGTAACCCGACCTCTGAGAGGACGCGGTGACTTCACAGAGTGTGAATGCCCGTTTCGCCACCAAAGTGGAGCAGCCAGTCAGGCGTGTTTGACTGGTCTGAGACAGCACTGAGCGACACAGTGGCAAAGATCACAGCGACACCAGCATGTGCAAAGTAGAATCAAGGCATGTACAGTAAATATTAGTCACAACCCAAACCCCAGGAATATTAATATTAAAACCTAAATCTCATTAAGTAGTTGATCACACAGAAGAATGGGAAATGTTAAAAACCAGAGTGATCTTGAATAAAAAGGAGTGATTATACGCAGGAGTTTTTACAATGTGTTTCAGAAAGACAAAAAAAAAACAAAGTGCCGCACTCTGCCAAAGGAGGGTCTATTAGTGACCATTAACAACCACTGTAAGTTGGTCATATTTACATCAATGAGGTAAGAATATATGTTTTTTTACATCTCTGTAAAATGACCATCAGAAAGGGGAGGAGAACTACCTAAAGCTGACTCAAAGACTTAAACATTTCCCATTTCCTGATCTGAGCTGTGTAGGACACGACACAGGCCTGTTTATCTGTGTGCATGTATGTGTTTAGACCAGGGATAGAACACTTAGGTCTTCTTCTTCAGCTCTTCGAACCGCCGCGTCAAATCGTCAAAGTCGATGTCATCCGAGTTGGTGGTGTTTCCACCAAAGGAGGATGCGGGGAGCGTGTCGGGAACAGAAGGGAGTTCTGGTAGAGCATTGCTGTCAAAGAAGTGGGCTGAAGGACCAGGGCCTGGAAAAGAGCAATTCAAGAAGGAATTAATTTAGCCATTGAAAATAAGAAAAATAAGATGAAGATGAACTTCCTGCTGGCAGAGAAACTATACATAAATGTATGAATTTGAAAATGTACCATCCTGCGATATGCCTACCCTAACAAATTGATTTGAGAGTAACGAACATGACCTGTCTGATCCTAAAAATTCAGAACTCACCGACAGCCTGGGAAGGAACAAACGGTTTGTCATTAAGGTCATCAATCTGAAACAAAACCAACAAGGGGTTAGAGAACATCTCTTCTCCATAACGGGATCCAATTTTATTTGTTAGTACTGATAAAGAATGGACCATAGGAAAAAGTAGCAAAAGAAAAGAGACAAGAGCAGTTTTACTATTGGGAACCATCACCATCTGTCAACAAAGCACTTTTTCTGAAGTTGGTAAATGAATGTATCTATTTATTGGACAGAAAGGTTTATCTCTTAGTTGCAGTCATGCTCAGTTTAAGCCATAGCAAGTATAAGCACTTTCCCCATTAAGGTCTGGAAGTATTCGCACAGTGACACAATTTTCAGAAACATAACTGTGTGGAACCACTCCGCATGGCAAATCAGAAAACTCAAATTTCCTTAGTTTAAAATTAAATGTATTTAAATAAATTAGCATAACCATGAATAAGCTTTTTTATATATTAAAAAAAACTTGCCAAAGTATTTTAAGATTATTTTCAGCAAAGTCTAATCTACCTTTGTCCTCAAAATAAAACTAAACTCAATAATATATACATATCTAAATTATTTCAAAGCATTCATCTAATAAATGGAACACACACTAAGAGTTTAAAGTGATAAAATTGTGTCATTGTCGAGATACATGTAGACCTAACACTAAATCTATGTGGATGAAGAAGCCCCACTCTGAGAAAGTGTGGAAGACAAGCAAAACTGCAAGCAATCTGAATAAACTCTCCTTCCCTGATTGGTGCCCCATCCTGTCTGTCTGTCCATCTGTGGGGGACAGGAGGGGGGCACAGGATCTCAATGGCTCAATCACTTACAGACTCATATGTGGGGGGAGAGGTGGGCAACTGTGGGGGCTGCCCTCCTCCCATGGGGGGCTGGAAGCTGTTGTAATTTCCAACTGGGGCACCGAATGGTTCCTATGGGGGGAAAAAGAAGTCGGACAGAGGCGTCAGGGAGGTCTGTGAATAGTGTAAATCAGACTACACGGCACATGGACCACAAATAGATTTTGTCAGTGATCAAAAGCCACCAATCAATCCCTGAAAAAAAAAAAAAGAAAAGTTTTTCTGCAAAGCTGGTTTTGATTGTTTTCCTCAAAAGAAACACAGAAAATAAAAGCTTTTCATGAAGGTGTTTTGAACAGTAGAGACCATTTTGTAAAAATGTTAACATACTCAATCAGTCAAATTGAGTATTTGTCAAACATGCTCATGTTATGCCTATATTGTTATTCAATATTAGAGTCACAAAATATAAGTCAATTAAAAAAACAAACACAAATTTTAAAACTGTGGAAATGGTTTAAAAATAAATAAACAATTAAAAGAATGCTTACAGCTCCTTTGGGAGGTGGATAGTTGAAAGCTGCTGGCATGGGCATGGGCATGGGCATAGGCATGGGCATGGGCATTGCTGCTGCAGGAGCAGTGAAGCCTCCTCCACCACCACCACCTCCACCTCCACCAGACCTCTTATTGTCCACGTCAATCAGGTCTGCCTCCTCTCCGGGACACACCTCAGGCTGCAGAGAAACAGGACAAAAAACTGATTAAGCAAAAAAAAGACAATAAAAAGAAAAAAAGTTCACTTTATTCTTTAAACTGTGAGATGAATCCTAAAAACATACCCGGACCATGGCATCTGGTTCATACGGAACATTATAGTTCTTGGCGATCTCAATGAGATAGCGTTCCACAAGGATCTTGGGAGGTGCCTCCACGCTCAGTTTGTGCATAAGCTGGAAACATATTAGATATTTTATTACGTGGAGCTGCAAGTCATAAAAGCAAAAGACTAGAATATTCTTGAAACCACCTGTAGGGATATCACTGAAAAATATCAGTTACCCTGTCATTGACTGTGCCAATCTGATTTGTCCTGCATAGCTTGCCATACTCCTTGCTATATTTGGCACACAGCTGTTCAGATACCTAATGGAAACATAATAAACACAACTCTTAAAACTGTCCAAATATGGATAAATACAATGCAAATTTCTTATCTTTTTGTTAATGCCCTCTGCTCTGCATGTTTTACAGAGAAAGAAAAAAAAGGGACACTTACAATCTTTAGCTCAGACACCTCTGACTGGAGACGAGGTGCTGCCCAGATGAGTGTGGACACAGCCTCTTGCAAGCCTGGATCAAGCTCCCTTTGTAGAGAAAGAAAAATGGATGATCATTGCAACAAGGGAACAGCATGGAAAACGGCATATTCATGTACACTGTGCACTCGTTTATGAATTTACTCACTTCATAGACTGGATAAGGCCAAAGCGAGCCAGCAGCAAGTCACAGTAAAGCTCCAGGATCTCCATGGCCTCTACCAGATAGTCCTCTCTGATGATGTGCTCCACACGGATCCGGGCCCGCTCATCCTTACCTGATGACAGGTAGTCTGCAATCTCCTTCCTTGCCTTTTGAGCGAGCTCAGCTAGATTTTAAATCAATTAAAGGTAGAAAAAAATCAACTTTCAATACTGGAATAAAGATTGCCAAAAGAAAAAAAACATTAAGAAGGACAAAGTAGCACTCACTTTTCTTTTTCTCAAGGAGTTTGAGTCTATTTATCACCAGCCGAAGGTTGACTCTTAGTCGCTCAGCTTTAAAACCTCCGCCTAGCATGTTGACAAACTATCTATGGAAATGGAGGAATGAGAAAACCTGAATCCATACGGAATCATAAACCAACCAATGGAGCAGATTCACATTATCCCCAACCCATAATCTACGAGTCACTTAATCATGTGAGAATGACTAACACATAGCCGCAGAGTGACTCCGCAGATTGAACCAAAACACAAATGTAAACACAATGGAAATCTCAGATAAAATTAGCCTGCTAACTGACACTACGAACCATTTAGCTGTTAAAAAAGCTATCTTTAGCTTCACACAAGCTAATAAGGGGCCAGGAAGCTAATTCAAACACCCATTTTTCGCGAATTCGTTTTCTATAATATTCTATTACCGTAATATAACAGCTATATACGTGTGAGAAACATAACAGTCAGATAGCATTAGCTTTGTTACCACTCTTCTGCTATGACAGTTAGCTTTGTCGCTCTCATTCAACACAACACAAAACAAAAAATAACCAGTAAAATGAACACAGGTATTTTATATAATTCGATGATTTTGGACCATTAACAAGTACACTGGCAGAAACTCACCGGCAGATTAAAGTCAGACGTTCGTATCAACTTATTTATGTTTCCGTCTGTTTCGTCGACCTATTCACTTCCGTGATTATTTGCAGTGACGTCATTGGGAGTTTACCCAATGGGCGGGATTTTGTGTCAAGTTGCAATCACACACAGGTGCGTCTAAAGCACGCGACCAATAAAGTACTTTGAGATTTCATTACTTTTTTTAGACTAGTAACAAGTGTTCCCAACTTCTTTTGACTTTTTTTCAGCTAATCGAGTCTATTTTTGCACAACAAATCTACCTTCCTCTATAATAACATTTACATAACTCTTTTTAATTTCGTTTAATTTTGAATGGAATTTAATTCAGTAAATTTACACGCACAACTTTAGTAATAGTATTAAAAACAACTCCGTTTATTTTTCAGCTTAAAGTTCTTCATGTACTCATGTATCCTGCCTTTCACTTCTTGGCAACTGAGATAAGTTTCTGCCCCCTTGTGGCCCTGAATTGGATGATTGAATTAAAAAATTTTAAGGGATGGGAGTTTCAGTGTATAATAATTACGTTGTACATCACATTGTAACTATGTACTTATAGGATGGGAGGCCCATTCATCCATTGGAAAAGAGGGGTGCGACTATCCCAGCTGATATTGGACAAAATGTGAGGTACACCCCTGATAGGATGGATAGGAGTCGGGTGTAGAGAGGTTTGGATTTCTCTGTATTTTAGAGATACAAATAATTAACAGAAAAAAGATTAGAAATATTTATTCAAACAAATTGCCTGAGAAAATTGTTGTGATTGATGTTTGTTAGCAACATTTCCATGTGTTGATGTAATAAACTATTCCTATCAAATAAATGTCACATCAAATCCAGATAAGGTGCAATTATTTGAAATGACCTACTGAGTAAACAGTTGTTGTGACTCCTTTAGAATGAATGAATCAGTGAAGCTATTATCAATTATCGGTCTGCGGCATGTGTGACTACTTTCACCCTCTAACATCAGCTTTCTGTTTTGCAGAAAAAGTAAAAGCTTAAAATATAAGCTTGGAAGCTGCCATAAAACAATTTGAAAAAGATTCATCACTTATGCAATACATAAGTTATTCAATATTTTATAGTTTAGCAGGGTACTACCTAATTTAATGTGCACAACATATTTTACACCCAGTAATTCAGTCACACATTTGATCTAAAATATAGTAAATACAATCATGTGTTTAAAAAGGTTCGGTTTTATCATTTCTTTGAGCAGGAAAGATTAACCATCGTCAATACATGACCTGGATTTCATAATTCCAGAGAGGTAAGTGCTGTCAAGTTTTCATGGCATTTGTTATGCATTAGTAAAATCAGTGATAAAATTATTTAAAAAAATTAAAAAGCCAAGAACTGTGCTCGAGAGGTTTAATATATTGCATATTTCTTATAAAAAAGAATTTGTACAGTGAAAAGTGGATCAGAGGCACGCCGCCAGAGGCATTACAGCTTGAGTCTGCTGACAGAAACTTCTTTTTTTTTCTTTTTCTTTGATGACTGGTCCTTTGCACTTTTGATCTGACTCTTGACTTGATCCTGGAGCTGAGAGAAGAAGGCTTGAGAGGACCGCAGAGCTTTGTCCTTTCCCTCATCCTAAAAAAACAGTACAGAGTTAGGCAAGTCAGTTCAGGAGGATTTGTCATATTTGAAGTGTAGTGTTTAATCTGGCATCATTTTTTTATTTTGTGGTTATTTGAGTTCAAATTAGGCTTCATATTTGCTCATCAGGTTTGAGTTTTTAATCTGAACCAATAAAGTGACAAATAACCATTCAAAACTGCACCAATGTGAAAATCACAATAAATTCTCACAAATGTTGAGAAATATACCTTCAATGTCAATTCTTGTTAAAGTCTCATACTGTGACAACATACACTGCTGATATTCAATCGTCCTGTTCTCTGGTTTGATCAACTTGGAATACTGGTTACCAGTAAGTCTTCATAATGACAAAATTACTGTTTCGTCATTATTTTCAAACGCCAAATCCTATTAAATCAAGCACTCACCTTGAGTATCGTGGCTTTGCCTCCTTTTGCCAGTTTCTTCAAGTTTTCGGCGACTTCGGCCTTTGACAGCTTTTTGTTCTGCCCAGTGTTGTTGGCCTCCTTAAGTTTCTGTTTCTTCTCTTTCTCTTTAATCTTCAGACGCTTCACCATCTTTTTGTGCCGTCTCTCGCGCTTCCTGTCGGTCGACGTTTTCTCGGTCTCACCCAGTACATCTCCTGCTTTGCTCTTCTCCTTTGGTAAGAAGAAACCGTTACAAAAACATGGAACTAAACAGATATCAGATATGCATATTTGTAGGGGCCGGCGGGCTGACCTTCACTTCCTCTGGTGCGAGCAGGGTGGCATCACTGGCGCTGACTGGAGCCACCTCCTCCATGGTGATGGATGGTAAGTTAGAAACAACTTTGACCTCAGGAACAGGCTGTGTAGAAAGTGCATCTATTACTGCTTATTGTACATTAAGTATAAGATGTAAAGAATTTATAATGCATTAAAAATCACTTAGATGTAATTGACTTATAAGTATTTACAGTTTTGTTAGAATTCTATGATCTTTTAAAAAACACAGTTAAACAGTACTTTGTGACCCATGTGGGATAACTCACTGGTTTGGGGGTAAAGTGGAAGTTGGAGAGGGCATCCAGCTTCAGGAAGAGCGTGTCCATAAGTTTTTGAATTTCTACATGAGCCGGGTTCTCCTCCTCCTCAGTCTTTTGCTAAAACCAGAACAATAAAAATGGGTGCTGCACAGTTCATGGGCGATTGATATCAGAAAAGGAAATGAGAGAGACCTCAAACCTGAGTTTGTTTGATGAATTCTTGTTCGTAGATTTCAGCTAAACTCTTTTTGCTCTTCTCGTGGTCCAAAGTAAGCCTCTTCTTGTACTCAAACACCTCCTCTTTCGGCTTCTCTTTGCGGACGACGTCATCAAATGCCTTAAATTAAAGAAATGCAAGTAAAATTAACTGAATTATGAACCTGGGACATAAAGGATCCACACAACATGAAAGTTATTGTGATGAACCTGGTCTTTAATTCTCTGTTTGATAATGTCTTCGAGCTGTAGTGTGGTTTCCTCTGTGATGGCAGGAGCTGAAAGACAAAATCTTGTTATTTGGTTTGGGGAAAAAAAGTGATTTCAACAGGAATATTAAGAGCAAAAAAATCAAATCAAAAAGTTCCATTTAGCCAAAGTGTAGCCAATAGCACATCCAGATTTAAACGCTCGCTCACCCATTCTTGACGACTGCTCAAACTCGACGTCCTCCTCCAGCATGCTGTTCTCGGGACGGGTCTGTGCCGTCACCTCGCCCAGCAGCTGCCACGGCTTCTCTGAAAGGGCCGCTTTCTCCAGCTCCTCGATCTTCTGTGACATCTGCAAGATGGAACATCTTAGGTCACTATCACTGAACTCAGATCTGCTCTCATAGCATTAAGTTGGGCAACGTCAAGCTAAAGTACGCAGAGAGTGCAGGCGGTGCGGAAAATATACAGACGTTAAGCCTTTTTCAAAAGACGGTTCTGCAAGAGTTATTCTCTCTTCAAGGTTCCTAAATTTTAATATCATATAAAAACTAACAGGTCTCTAATATCCCTGTCAAATCAAACAAGTAAAACCCCTGATATCTGCTTACCTTTTCCTGCCGTTTTTCAAATGAAGACCTTGGCTCAGGCTTTTCCGAGGGGGTAGCTTTCCCTCCAAAAATTTCCTCCATGTCCTCCCCTTCGCTGTCCTCATCTTCAGAGAGATTAAAGGTCACTTTCTTGTGTGACGCTTTGGAGTGGCTCCTCTGCCCGTCCCTGGCAAACGGTAGACCAACCAGATCATGCTGGAATCAACCAACCAAGCTTCTCCCACACATGATTACATAACATTCGTCTCACTTACTCATCATCACCCTCCTCTTCACCATGAGAATCGTCGTCTTCGTCATCCATTTCTTCTTCACCTTCATCTTGGCTCTCATCCTCGCCGTCATCTTCTCCATCTGACGGCTCATCTGTTTTTGCTGCATCACCATCCACCTCATGAAAAAAGTCTTTGTACTTGAGATCTCTGGAGCTCTTCACCTGTAAATATGAGCAATCAATACATTTTCCTTGTTTGTTTTACATGTCTTAAAAAGGGAGAAAGAGGTGATGTAATACATACTTCTTTTTTCTTTTGCTTTGATTTAGAAATCATTTCATCCAAGTCAAGATCATCGTCTCCATCAGAGGGAAGGTCCTGAAAGTAATTTATATCATCCTCATCCTCGTCTTCCTTTCCCTCTTGTTTGTCCATATCGTCAAGAAACGACTCCATCTCTGACAGTTTGAAGAACTTATCATCAACCTCAGAGGGAACCACTTTTATTCTGTCTGGCCTTCTGCTCTCTTTCTTCTGCTTCTCTCGTTTCTCCAGAGCGTCCACATCGAAATCTATATCAGAGTCATCCTCTGAGTAACCCTCTGACCTGTCCTCGGCCTCTACATCTGCCTTTTTCTTAAACAAACTGGGCGCCTCCTCCTCTTGGTCATCAGTGACATCTCCATTTTCTCCTTCGTCACCATCTTCTTCTTCTATCTCAGGCAGCAAAGTTAAAGTCCCATCTGACAAAACCTCATCAATGGAATTTTTAAAGTGTTTCAGGACAGCATTGTTCTGGAGCTCCAACTCCTGCCAAATCTGCTCCTCGTCAAAGTTTTCCACCACAAGCTGAGCCAGTGGGCTGCCTTTGTAATCTGAAGGCTCCTGAGTTTTGTGAAAGTCATACAAGGTCTTAGTGAGAGAGGTAAAATCTGCTGCCACTTCATCTTGGAGGCTGTAAAAGAGCAAACAGTCAGACATGATGATGGAGTGCTTTGTTTCAACTGCTTAAAATATAGCTGTGAAATTTTAAATTAGATTGGTGTGGCTTTCAGACTCGCAGATTAAAAGATACATCATAAATTGGAACACCAGGTACTAAAACGTCTGTTTGCATTGATAAAAGACATTCAGATCCAACCAAATTTAGAAATACATAGTCTCTAACTGGAGAGATCGTATCTGCCCTGGTAGATTTGGAGGAGGACAAGGCTTAGGGTTTCTGCTTAGACTGCTGCTACTACTACTATCCTAACCCAGTTAAATTCCAAGACATAGCAAATGACTGAAAGACATTTTTTGTTAAGTTCTGTGATTTGGGATAAACCTAATACAGTAATAAGTGAAAATGAGAACAAATAGATAGCCACAACTATCACAAAATGTTTATATGATGCTTCACAATGAACCAGCCTTTCTTCGATTTTCGTAAACAAAAATGTACATTATGAAATTGGTCATGTTGACAATACACCCAAAAATTAAAAGAATAAATATCAATAATGATCTATAATCACAAACAATAAAGCCTTTAAACCGAAATACTTCGTTGATTGTTGTGGAAACGTGCAGTTAGCATTAGCCCATCGTTAGCTGTTATCTTGACACGCAGGCAACAACATTTTCAACTTCTCCAACAAAACCAACAAACACTTACCTTAGAAATTTCTCAGGTTGTGCTGTGTTAACATTTATTTTCTCGATGCATTCCCCTAGCACACTCAACACATCTTCAGTAGCCATATCTCCCCCTCACATGTGTGGCCCTGTGTGTTGCAGATAAACAGGCTCAACGAAGAACTCGTCCGGAGCAGCACTTTGGTTCCAGGCACAAACATGGCGTCCGCAGTGCTGAAGGTTGCAGGTTGGTTTATGCTGATAGTTAACTAACAGCCATGTTAACATATTTTCCTTCTGTTTTCATAAAATAATAGCGTTTTTTCAGAGTCGTTCTTTAACCTTTTAACGAAAGCTCGTTTGTGAACAAAACTATCGTCGCGTTACGTAACCAGTTGTCTTACTGTAAACTGGACGTAAACAGGTTTTCAGTTTGATGAAGTGGCTGGGTATATTTTAAATTAAGGGACACAGAGGTTACTTCTATTGATTATTGTACATATTTACATTACATTTGTATTTTTTTAAGTTGTATTTGAAAAAGCTTTCCAGACAAACTTCTCATCCATCTTTGAACACACACCACACTTTGGATTTTTGCTAATGATGTCATTCACATGTCATGAAATCTATGCTATGGGGACAGTTTGGACCAGCATGTCTTTATTTTATCATCCAGTACACTCTCCACTGTGTTTCAAACCAGTTTGTGGGTGTAACCAATGCTTATGTAAAGTTTTAAACAAGCTGCTACAGCCTGCAGAAGGAAAACCATATGAAAACCTAGTTTTAAGTTGAGTTTTTCTGACCTTTATCAATGTTTTTTTTATTTGTTTGTTTAGTGGCAGCTGCTTCCAGATGTTCTCATGTCATGCTATTGAGGGCACTCTCAACAAGAGCCCCCGTCCATCAGGGTGTCCCTGCCTCCCTGTGGAAGCTGGGAAAGCTGAACCACATTGCCATTGCTGTGCCTGACATGGAGAAGGCCACGGCTCTGTATCGGGATGTGCTCGGGGCCAAGGTGAGCGACAAGGTGCCCCTGCCAGAGCACGGTGTCTACACAGTGTTTGTGGAACTTGGCAACACTAAGCTCGAGCTGCTGCATCCTCTGGGGGAGAAGAGCCCCATCTCTGGCTTCTTGCAGAAGAACAAGTCAGGAGGGATGCACCATGTTTGTATTGAGGTGAGACATCTGCATTTAGATTACATGAGTGTTTAGAAGTACACACTCAAACTTCCAAATATATGTTGTTTAAAATGATCATTTTTACTTGTCATTCCAGGAAAAAAATTATGGCCTTGCCATGTCTGATTAAATCATCTTAGACTTTTTAAAAAAGCATTTTTTTCTTTGTTCCTTTGATGATTTTTTCTTAGGTTCCAATTGGTCAAAGTAAAAAAAAAAAGTAAACTCACAGTTATGTCTTTGGAAAAAATAATTATAATATTGTACACAAACAAACAAAATACATTTCAGTTCATGAAGTATAAGATTCCTATAGTAACCACAAAGTTTCCCTTTTGTTCCAGGTGGACGATATTAACGCTGCGGTGGCAGACCTGAAGGCAAAGAACATCAGAACCCTGTCAGCAGAGCCCAGGATAGGCGCGCATGGGAAGCCGGTAATGTTCCTTCATCCTAAAGACTGTGATGGCGTGCTGGTGGAGCTGGAAGAGGCATGAAAGCCTCGGCCCGGCAGAGACCGATGGAGCGGTTCACTTACGTCCGTATCGTGTGCAGCCACTTTGATAACCACAGAGATAACAGTGATGATTCTTCCTCATGCCGCTTATAATTGCAGGAACCTGAGTTTTGTCTTCCCTGTTTTGTTGGGAACAAATAACATTTTGATGTGTGTTCTGACAATTTCTATAAAGTGTTGTATTCATCAAGTGACTCTTCTTTGGCTCTGTTCACATTCAAGGTTGGAAAGTCAATTTTGTATTTTAGATATTTGGTAGTTTCAGTTTGCTAAGAGTGTGTTTTTTTTTGTTCTGATGTTGCTGAGTTTTAAACCATGAAAACATTTCTAATTGCACTATCCACAATGACACGGCTACACAAATTGGTTTCTATTAGCTGTTTTTACTTAACCTTCCTCTGGTATTAGCTTTCTGCTGCCATCTGTAGTGTTAGCGGGTCATTTTGGACCCGTGTATTAAATCAGCCATAAAATACCCTAAAAACAATATTTTATCATCCAATGTTTTCTTAACTCTTGTTTAGCTGGTTGGGCTCCCTTATCCATGAAAAGATTGGTATTAATATTTTTTTGTGGCCCCCTGGGCCTTTGTTTTAACAGCATACCCCTCGTTTTCAATGTCATAAAAGTGGTCAAATGAACCTTAAGAGTAGAAGGCAACAAAATAATCAGTTGTTCTGTTACCTGAGTGTAACTGAGAGATATTAAAACAAATTCTTTAAATGTTCAACAAAAAAAAGATTTTAATTTTAATATCATCAAATATAGTAACGTCTATGGTTTTTCGGGTCATTTTGGACCCGTATATATTTGCTTCAAGAAAAGGGCAAAAACAAGTCTTTTTTTCCCACACAATAGAACTTTAAAACAATATTTAACAATATGAAAAACAGAACAGTCATAAATAATAATAATTTACAATAAAACAAAGATTTGCAAATAAATAAACAAAAACCAATCGAGAAAATCACATCAAAAGAATCAAGTTCTTGTTCTATCAATACTCTGTGCAAAGAACATGCCTGTGTGTGTATGTGTGTGTTTAGATGCATGTGTTGCAAAAAGTGACACTTTTAGTGTGTTCATTGCTTGATCTGTAAACTCCAGCAAGGAGGAGAACACCAATGTAGGCATCCAGGTACGTCTCATCAATGTCTTTCCATGTGTTGCCATGGACTTTTTTTCCCTCAAGGTTTGTCATAGCAAACATGACTTTTTTTAGTGACAATGGCAAAAAAAGATCAAAACACGTCTCGATGTCACTTACTCTTGTCACAGCAAACCTCGTGACCCCAGGGGTCGTTTGCAGCAGCTGTCCTTCCATGCACATCAGGAGGAACTGTGTTCCACCGGATGTTGCCACTTTTGGATTGGAATGATTCAGCAGGAGCAGCTTCAGCAGCAGTGACCTCCTCTTCAGACTGATCAGTTGTGTCTGTTTCTTCCAATTGGTACTCCACATCATCTCCGTTCTCAGAGGCCTGCTCATCTCCATCGCTAAAATCCTGTGTGTCCTCTGCCTCATTTGCAGCAAAAATGTGATCCAAAGCTTAATTTACAGTTAATCTTCTCCTCATTGTTGCATCCTGTGAATTGGAGATGTGTACTCTGCAAGTCACCACCTCTACACTCAAATGGCTTGACAAGCCTGGACATGTCTCCCTTTGTTTGTTCTTGCAAAAAGGCAAAGAGAAAAGCCCCTAAATGAAGCTCAAGTGGTTGGAGGAACATGCTGTTGGTTGACTGTGTGTTCATGTTTTAATTTTGGGCATTTTTTATTGTTTTATAATAGAAAATTTTAACCGGGTCACAAATGACCCGAACACCACAGAAGTCATTTTTTTCACCAGAGCACTTTATAATTTAGTAAAAAAAAAAAAAAAGATTTTACTTTGTTTAAATGTAAGTCCCTGACAAAGTCAAAAAGTTTCAACTCAAAAAACAAATGTATGAAGTGCTTTTATGCATGTTAAAACTCAAAACGGGTCCGCCGGGACCCTAACACCATAGGAAGGTTAAGTCAGCCTGTCATTAAGATTAGCTTATGTCTGTGTAGGAAGCATGTGTCATCCTAACTCACGTAACAGCAGTTCAGCACGATGTTTTTGGCTGTCCTGATCTCAGATATCCAGTAGAGGGCGTGGCAAGCAGAAAGCACCCCCGCCCCCCCCCACACACACATATTTCAAAATCGAGGAACTCACTGACTCATGATCACTGTCAAACATTTTACTTCAAGTTCCGACACAAAGGTTTACCATCTCATTTGGAAATCCCCATTATACTTTTTTTCGTTCTCATCCATTGTGCTTGTATCAAGAAGTAAAAATGTTCGGGCTGTTTTTGTAGTGACACAATGCAAATGTAGCTTTCAGCCAATGTATTTTTGATGGATGAATTCGTCTGAAGACATTTAGGTTGGAAGAGTGTGATAATATTGATATTTTTAAACTTTGATTTAAAGCACTCTTCCAAAGAAAAAGAAGATTTCGCTAACAGGAGGTTTGTGTGTGAGATATATTTCTGTGCGTATTTTCACTGGTCTCTAAAGCAAATGTTTAAAAGGGGAAAATGCAAAGTAATGCATTTCACAATCAAATGGAAATCCCATGTCCCAATCAGATGACTTATGTGTAAATCAAGCTTTAAAAGAATCCTGACCATGTCCTTCATCTGCAGTCAGAAAAGTGTGCCCTTGTTTCAGTTTTCTAAACACGATAAAGCTCCTCTGAAGCGGCATAGCAGGATCCTACATCTTATTCTGAATAACCTTGAAGCCTTATGTAGGGAAACGGAAAGTGTTAACAATAGGTAACATTTAGTCTAATGTTCACTGCAGTTTGGCTGTTAACCAGCGGGAGCATTAATATGCTCTGAGTTTGTTCTCCTGCTTCTTACACATTTTTTAACAGAGACTCAGAGTTGAAATTATCTGTAAAATTCCACAATAGGCAGCAGTGGTTCTGATAGGATGGAAACTAATGGAGTGTCGCTTTCAAACTATGTCTGTGCTTGACATCTGAGGTAAAAAATAAAAAAAAAAGAGCACCCTGAGAGAGCACAGACTGTTAAATCCATTATGAGGACACATCGCAACTCAATGCTTTGAGCAAATGTGACACAAAACAAGAGCAAAGATTCCACGGTTTCAAAGCCACTTAGAAGGGAAAAGGCCATTCTGTAGCAACTGCACAAGAGACAGATATGAGCCTGACGAAAACAAGCCTATGCTGTTAGACACGTGTTATATTTGGAGGGAAATGTGTGAGCTCGCTGCCAAGGCTGCCAGTTCAGCCTTGAATAATGGTGGTGGCTACGAGCCGTTTGTGTTACCGAAATAGAAAACAAAGATATAGTATGTGGATGTGTTTATGCCAAAAACTGGGGCGTTAAAGCTTAACCTTTTGAGTTTTCTTTATCCCCCCCCCCCATAGTTGTAAAAATAAATAAAAAATAAATAAAAAACAGGCTTTAGGTCAGCAAAGTTTAAATACTTTTCACCAAAGATGAATCCAATAAGCTGTCATCCGATAAGAGTTCCATCTGTGGGAATTGGTCAAAAGTCCCACAGGCTGAGCTACTTTTTGACCAAAAAGGACCACTTCTATAGTAGTGCTGCTAAACATTTATGCTGTGAACTAACTCACCATTAATAAAGCCTTAAGTTTTTTTTTCATTTTTTGAATATTCCATTTTAAAGTAATTCAATCCATTTCAAATTTGAGCCGAGAAGTAAACCATCCAACTTCAACAGCAACGTACTGAGAGGAAGCCCCTGTTTGGAAATGACAGGACATCCAGTAAAACCCTGAAGCCTCAACAACAGATGCTTATGTTTCTGAGCAGGCTGCCCATTTTAAATTTGTGGTGTGCAGTTTGCAGAGCTTGCACACTAACAAACAGTAATTATGTCCTGCATATCCACCAAGTTTCAAGCTACCATTTGCTTTCCACTAGTTTAAGTTTCAACATTATAATGAACAGCTGTCCAAAGCTGCTATATTTGGTGAGGAAAAACAAAATAGACATGCGAGGACATATGGAGGAGAATAACATCTGCCCTTAGAGGGCAGATGTTGGGAAAGCAAAACTTAGAGGTTTTGCTTTCCCAAATAATGGAAGTGAAACAGCCCAACTTAAGATATTCAAATGCTTGACTTTCTTCAACACTGAAGAACATTTAAAAAAACAAACGGCAAATCAGAATCCAGAGGGTTCCATTTATTTGGTCTGATAAACACCTGGCTTACAACAGTAAATATTTTCTGATGTCTGAACACAGCATGTGAAGGTGGAAAGGAGCTTTGAATGTAACAACTCGCAAAGGTTCATCTAGAAGTATAATATGGACGTGATGCTGATAACATGAATAGTACACATTTAAATGCCGAGCAACTATCATGCAGAAGAACTCATACTGTGAAAGTAAAGAAGCAGGATACAAACATACAAATACAGGAGCTTTTGTAAAAATGATCGAACAGATTTAACTGCTTTCTTTGCCCAGAGTGTGTTTATCAAACAGGTATTCGGCCATGCCGCTCTGAGGAGCTCCCATGCGGCGCAGGTTGGTCACCCAGTCTCCCAACTCTTTGATGGACTTGATCTGCTCATCAAGGTAGTGGGTCTCAATGAAGTCACACAGCTGGAAGGAAAACAGAGCAGGCTGGTGAGCCGAGCCACAAACAGAAATGTCCATCTTATCTTATCTTCAAGTATTTAAAAAGGGAAAGTGAGCAAACATTAATGAACCAACAGACCCTCTGATGGCACAATCCCATTGATTTGTACAGTAGCCGTCTAAATGTTCCACAGGTCACATTTAAGTCTAAGGGATCTTGTCCCAGTTAAAAAAAAAAAAAAAAAAGTAATCTGCTAATTGTTTGTAGTTTTGGATTGATACTCACATGTGGGTCATTGTGATCAGAGCAGAGCTTGTGCAAGTCCAGCAGTGACTGGTTCACACTCTTCTCAAGCTGCAGGGCACACTCAAGAGCCTCAATGCCACTGCCCCACTCATCCCTATCGGGCTTCTGTAAGGCGAGGAAAAGAAAAGAAAATGAGGCGCACAAGTCTGCAGGGAGGGCCAAATCTGACCCAGATGAGCCTTCAGATCAACAAACTGCATTTGCCGTTTAACGTTTTCTCAAAGGCGCAAGGGGTTGTGTTTGTCTGTTCCGAACAGATAAGCGGCCCATCACACTCACACCTTCCTTATCTTTAGGCACTCCCTACGTGAGCCGCGCGATACCAAAACAAGCAGACTCACACTACACAGGAGGTTTAAAGGAAACAAATCATGTATCATTTTCATAAAGATCATACCCTGATGTCTTGCAGGAAGATCCTTCCTCCCCTCTGGTTCTGGAGTTTCATCAGCTTCTCTGCATGCTCGCGCTCCTCATGCGACTGCCCGCGGAAGAACTTGGCAAAGTTGTGTAATGCCAGATCATCGCGGTCAAAATAATAACCCTACAAACCCAAAGGTTTCCGAAACATAATTAAAGCTTTCAGGAAAGTATCTATTCATGTTAAGACAGAATACAGATTAGGGCCTCTAAATTGGCATCGTTCCTTTTCAAAAAATAAATACACGTCTGTTGGGAGGAGTTTGGTTAGAGCAGCAGTCGTACTTTTTCTTTTCACAGAACATAATCTATAAACTTTCAACCTTTGTTTCATTGTGCTACCACATAACATCCATTTCCTGCCAGCCCAAACAACTTATGTTTAGTACAAGCCATCTTAAAAACATTTTCTGTTCCAAGTTAGCACCTTCATCTGTGCCACCAAAACCACAAGGCAGCTTTTCAAGCTGCAATTAAAATAGCTTCATAGAACCGTACCAGAAAAAAAAAGGAAAAAAAAGAGATTACACGGTTCCTCTTTTGGCTTGGTACTTCCACCTGTACTGCAAACACCTGTTCCAGGCGCTCCCCCCCACATGCTTGCTCACTGATCTTTGGCAGTTTACTACATTAACATACGGGGCTCTCACCATAGACAAGTAGACGTAGGAGGCGTACAGCTCCAAGTTGATCTGCCTGTTGATTGCAGCCTCGCAGTCCTGATGGAAGTTTTGTCTAACCTGTGAACTCATGGTTCTGAAAAATGGCAATGGGATAAAAAAAAATTGTAAAAAAAAAAAACAACAGTCACATGTATGCAAGAGATCTACAATGGTTATAAAATCGCTTAATTAAAAAAAAAAGTTTATTAATCAATATACATTTGATTTGAGAGAGCCTGGCCTTTGTATATTACCACTCAACCCTACTAATGCAAGTCAACTATTTAAGAGTAGTTGCTACAACTTTTAAAAGTTAATTCAACAAGATAGTTTTTCATTATTTTACGGTCCCAAGATATTCTATGTTACAGATCGTTAAAATACATCACCAATAATTAAAGCGCTTTTTTTCGAATCCAGACACAGGCCAATGCCAACAGCGCCAAGGGCCGCGTTAGCGGCGCCAAGGTGAAAACCCGAAGAACGACTAATTTACAAAATTCCCCTAAACACGGACGAAGACATCAGCCGGTTCAATTAATTTTGCTTCAAGCCAACACAAAAATCTCAGGCGTTTTCCTACCTATTTTCCGTGGCAGGTGGTCTTGTGAGAGGGTTGCCGATGTCCGAGAGCTCGCGTTGTTAGCAAAACAAACAGTTAGCTTCCAAGCTAAGCGTGGTTATACGATAACTTAGCTAGGCAATTTAAGCTTAAAGTTAGAGTTGACTTTCTTGATGGAAATCTAAATGATAGAAGCAACTGTTCGCGTCACCTACTTTAAAAAGACAGTTAAAAGGTTGCCGTTCAAGCACTGTTGAAGCAGGTAACCTTCACCGTCCGCTAACAGATGGATCTACTTTGAGCGTGATGGCCTCAGCGTCGACACATAAATGAGCTGCTCGGACCATTACGTCAGCACCAGAAGAGGGCGGAGCATTGCCGTAACCAGGCAACGAGGCACGTATTAACTGTATGTCCCTTCATTGCGTAAATGTTCCTGCATTTTTCAATAGAATAATGGTTACTTTTTAAATCCTGGGCCAAACAGACTAAATTGAATTTACAGGTGAAAAATAATTTATTAAGGACTTTATAAATTGCCGATTTTTTTATAAATGAAAAAAGGGGGACAAGCTAAACGTAAGAGGTACTTTACTTGCATAAACAGATTAAATCCACTGCAACTATTATAAAACATTCAACACCACAAAACTGTGGAAAGAATCAGCACAAACTGACCCTTATATTTCCCACAATTCCCCATTAGGGTCAGAATTAAATAGGAGAATATCTACAAAATAAATAAAAAAGCTCTAACCCCATTTGATGAATTAATTTAGCATCTTTATAAATCATTTAGAAAACACATGGGATTGGGATGAATAAAATGGAACTTGAAATAATTTTTTTAATTTAAATCTGGTTTTTAACTGTTCCATTGGACAGTTATTGCCTGAAAATGTATTATTTTTTTAGAAAAGAGAATATTTGTAAGGGGTCAAAATGTTGTATGTATGTTGTTGTTTTGTTTCGTGAGTATGTCTATGAGCCACAGAGGACTCACGAAATCTCAGGACTGCATCTCAGCAAAATCAGCTTTGAACACATGATATGAGTCAGCTCTGGGGTTTTTTAACAATGATATTGGCTAATTCAAAAAGTATGGAGTTGAGTAATAGTGAGCTGTCATGCACATGGTTAACTTTCTGTAAGAATTAAGAAACGTGCTGGTTTTTTAAGTAAAGGATCATTCTGTTGTTAACATCAAGTGAAATTAGCACGTTTGATAGTTTGATTTGACATCAAATGAAATAAATGGGATGATATGAATCATTTTGGATCTCAGGGAGGGAAGCACAGTTAGGTGGATGATAATAATGATGACTATTGAAATGAATAAATGCTCTTGATGGTGACAGAACTATTATACTGAAAACATTTTTGACCTGTACAGTACAGAAGTCGTTTCTATGCTGAGGTTTTATAGAACACTGTTCATGAAAAATGTTGTACTTTGTTATAGTTTGGTTGACAACTTCCTGTATGTGCAACGGATGGAAAATATTTACTTCAGGTGTTCCCTCTGTTACAGGAAGCAAATCTGTTGTTAACAGTTAACAGGTGTGCTAGAAACAAATGAAGATAGAAAGTTCTATTGCGATTATCGTCTGTATATTGGAAAGCTTCTGCCAAACAGAATTTTGGCGGCTCGAGAAATGGTTCTTGGTTCAGATGGTTGTACCATCTTCTATCATTTTTAGTCACAACTGAACAGCTTATAGATGAAAGTTCAAGGGTCTGTGATACCATGGCAGTAAAAGCAACTCTTGAGACATGAGATTAGGGAAGGCCAATTTAGCATTTTGTGTGCAAGACAATTAAAAATTAATTACATAAAAGATCATAAAAAAGATAAAAGATTAAAAAAGTTAGAGTTTAAAAGCAGAAAATCAATAAGTCAAACAATATAGAACAATTGAAAAATCAATAGATTAGAAGTAAAGTGAGATTAAGCCAAGCCCCCACAGCTACTGGAACGGGAAGGTTGTGTGACTTTTACAATGCGGCTGTGGTAAATTATTGATATTCAGGGTGTCGACCCTTGACCGCTGTGACATGAGCTGAACTGGCTTCAACTCACTGGTTATGGCTCATGTTTTATTTACAATGAAACCCCAGGTTTCCCACGAGCTATTTAGCAACTTGCTCTCTTCTTTTTTAAATTCACAATCATCATGAAAATCAAACTTCTTAAAAGCCAGGTCAGATAATTATTCTGAGCCCTGGACATTTTCTGTTGGTGCTAATGTTTATGATGCTGTTCTGGGGGTCACACTACCCTAGACTGTATCCACCAAAGCTGTAAATAATGTGTTAGTTCTGTTGGTGCTTGTCTTTCGTTTGGGATCACGTTCTTAACTTCTTCAGGTGTAAATGTCGGTACTGCCATCTTCTGACCACCGGGTAGGGCTGCATGCATCACGATGTTAGACTGAGCTCCAAACTAAGCCTGAAAATTTTCCAGTGGTTCATTATTCTCAAAAACAACTTACCTAACTGCACACTCCACAAGGATACATTTTTATTGCTACTCTACAACACAAAAGTAACTCTACACAAGACTGAGTTTTGTCTTTTATCAAGTTTTTTTCTTCTTCAGAGTTATTTCAAAAATATTTTTTCTCTTTTCTGGCTGAAATGAAAAAAGCTGTATCAATGCTGAAATAGTGACAAAGCTTGGTCGGAAAAAAAAAAACATTCCAGAATATTTTCTCCAAAACTTTATTCATTTTTTGAAAAGGTTTAGTCGAAGAGGCCGAATCCCATGTCGTCATCGGACTCCTCAGACTCTTCTTTCTTCTCCTCCTTCTTCTCCTCAGCAGCTGCAAAACAAACAAAAGTAGTCAATATCTGTATTTTCACTTAAATTATGTAGACTCTTAATCTACAAGACGTATCCAAGACATCTGATGCTTCCCGTTACAAATCCACAAATGAGAACACCTTTAAAACTTCAGGGGGCACAGTCAGAGGTTTAACTTTTTCACATTGCTGTCCTTCAGCTCTAGGAAAATTTCACTAATCTGGCAGCATGTAACAAAATCAGCACACAAAGTCGAGGCAACGCTGCTGCGCGCGCCAAGTGCCACTGATGGTGACAAAGTGCTAAGCTGATCCTCTCACCTGCAGCAGGAGCTGCAGCTCCACCTGAGCCACCAGCTCCGGAGCTGGCAACCGCCACGGCACCACCCGCCGGCACGCTGGCCAGCTTACCGTAACCTGAGGAGACATGTTGGCAGACATGAAGCGCAAGTGATAGCTCAGACACCAGACAGAGACCGAGACACGCCACAAATACTTCACACTGGACAGAATCCAGCCACCGCACCGGATAGGGCCTCATTAGGCCCTGGACTTGTGTTTAATTTATTGGGTTGGTCCAATTAAATGAAATGAAGTAGCAGCAGATTTAAGGATATGGCAACCAGTTCATGTCATTGCCTCTAAATAACATGTTGATCCAGCAAGTAAACTGTAGAAGCTTATTGGGTTTAGTAAGCAATGAGAACATCGCAAGCAGGTTTCAAGAGCTCATCTTGAAAAAATTTGAATATTTATTCAAAGCCATTTTTCAGCTTTTAAAGAGAATTTACTGTGTCCAATTTTAGACAAGTCTAAGGACAGTTGTTGTTTTGTTTGACATATCAAGTCAAGAGGCTGATCATCAAACCATTAACTATCAGTTGTTAATCAACATGTGTGTTTTTGAATGTAGCTGAAAAAGTAAATGCACTGATAGTTCCAAGTGTACCCAGATCAAACTGGGACCCACCATTTAGAACAAGAACCTGAATATGGATAAAATCTAGAGATTCAAGCACAATATTTTAGGAAAAATCTGGGCTAAAGATTTATCTACTTAAAACATCTAGACATAACTGCGGACTCACCTGTGGCGATTACCTCTTCCACATTCTTGCCTTTCAGCTCAGAGATGACCTGTTTGAAAAGACAGAACCAGGTGAAAAGGCAGCACACAGCACCATGCAGTCACAACACCACAGGAGGGGGCAGCTCGCTACCTTCTCCAGGCGCGTCTCTTCGGACTCGATGCCAACGCTCTCCAGGATTTTCTTGATGTCCTTGGCTTCTGGGCTTTCATTGCCACCGAGGGCAGCGAGCAGGTAAGCAGCAACGTAACGCATCCTAAAAAAACAAAGCAGAGACTGAAAAACTGCATGTGCAACAGAAAAATGTGCCACCCCCCCAAAACTCTCCCAAGAAATAAACACTGTGGGCTTTGTTAAGACCTATTACACCAATTAAAAAATGAAAACACATATGTATATAAATAAAAGTAGACCTGATGCAGATATTGAACTTGTTTGGTCTGTGAAAAGTGATGGCATCATTCAGATTACACTCATATTGCAGCTTCAAAAGTTATGTGCAGACACATTTAAAACCACGCTGTAAGTATGAATCTTCAACCCAACATACAGGCTCACGTTTCACAGCTTCTCATTCTAATCCATTTGTCTTTAACTCGAGACTATCCGAGGTCCCACCAGAAACTGGGCATCATCAAATTGGAAAACACTATCTTTCAGAGCATTTAATGTGTCTCTAACTGGAAGTATTAGCATTTAAACTCATTAGCCCAATTGACGAAGATCATTGGAAGATGTGTTTAAAGGTTCAATTTCCATCAGGTGGCGTGTGCTTTGCTCCCGCTCCCATCTGCTAGCAGGTAGAGCTAGCTAGCTAAGCTATGCTGGCAGGAAAATTCAATAATAACTTCAGGATGCCGCTTATTAAGTTTTCAAGCTGCCAGGGTTGGATGTAGTCTTTATTTCAATTGGGAAAATGTCACATTTCTTTAGGTGACCGTTTTAATTTCGTTACAAAATGCCACTCACTTGAGCTAAGCTGTCGAACGCGTGTTCACTTCGAGGTTGACTCGTACAGAAAGGAAGTTACGTCGTCGAGTGAAAGCGGAAAAAGGCCTCTTCTTCTTCGTGAGAAGTAAAAAGTACACAGAAGCTGTGTTGCGGCCTGCTGCTCAGGAGTTTGTTTACATACATTTCCCCCGTACTCAAAAGCACGTTAACAGACCAAAATAGAAATGTTAAAGAAAAAAAAGAGATTTAATCTTTAAAAAATGTGCTCCTACAGGACAGAAATGAACAAAAGGGAATATGAACTGTCAAAGCATTTCAAAAGGTTTCAGAAGTACACAAAGGTATATGTACCTTTTTAAACCAGCAGTTCTTATGCAGACCCAATTCGTTTGGCAAAAGCTCTCCAAACATCCTTTTTTAATATGAGAAATGATTAATAAATTGTCTTGCTCTGAAGCAGGTCATCAGGGCAGCAACTTTAACCAATCAAAGTTAGCCTTTACTGAAATGCCTTTAGGAAGAGATTGTTTAACTCACATTGGAGCTCATAATGGAACAGCTTTAATTATCTAACTCATCCTGATATGCCAGTTTATTCACGTCATGTATTTTTTTGATTGTTTTTTTTCCCTCAGTTAAAACAACCAGGCAACCCACTCACCTCCAAGTAATGCTGGAATTTTTCTTCTTTCCAGGCATAAACATTTAGTTCAGACCCTGATTACTCAGAAATGCACGAGATGCTGTATATCAACTTCAAAAGATCATTTATCTTCCTTGTGTGCTGCTACCACTACCGATTTGGCTCCAGGTCCAGCTTGGCCTCCTGCCTCTTCCTTGGCCCCTGCTGCTGCTGAGTTTGATCCAGGATGTGATTGATTCTGGCTGCCAGAAAAGACGAAGTGAACCATCCACACATGCGAGTCCGGAACGGATGGCGTCAACACCGTCAGAAACCAGCAGCTGTGCTGCGGTCTCAAGCTGTAGTGTGAACAACCAGCTCTAATGAATCTCTGTCACGTGCACTGCTTGGTTCCAGGCAAACAGCCCTGATTTTGCTGCTGAGCCCCAGCTACGGAGTTCATCTCCGGCATATATGCAATGCGTATTCATTCATGTGGGCAAAAGCACCGTTTTGAACATGAATACACATGGTGGGGAGGATTAATGTTAACTTGAATGTCGATGAGAGCAGCAGAATTAACCAAATCAAGCACCATCAAACTCAAAATAGATGTGTAATTAAAAATGAAGAACATCCTGGACAAGGTCAGGACAGATCAGAGGACATCACTGCAACTATTAGACAGAGAAGTGACATAAACAAACCCTCCTGATCTCAAACACAGGTGTCTTTGTCAACATTAATTACTGTGGACCGGAGTCATCGTTAAGATTAATTGGCAACACCTGCTTTTTCCCAACTATGTTCAGTCAGAACGTTCATAATGAATCAGGGTCACGTTAAATAGACTTTTTCCTCTTTTTTTAAACGACAAATAACCGAAGAAGCACCTCAAAACTGTTTCACTGGTTCCAGTTTCATCTCATCCATGACAGGAAACACTGGGCCAACTGTGGAGGGGAAAAAGGTGGGTGGCAAAAAAAAAGGAAAAAAAAAGTGGGGGTTGTGGAGTGATCGGGGTGTGAACTTACTCCCCTTTTTTATAAAGTAAATGGATAAAGTAATATCCTTTTTAACTTTTAATACGTGTTTTGTGCGTATGAGATGGCCTCCATCTAACAACATGAGACTGCATTAGACAAAGTACAAGCAGCCCTTTTTGCAGAGTGTGTTTGAAACATCTGGAGTTTCAGTACTGCAGACTAAAATCACCAGACTTTTTTTTCTTCTAAATATTAAACTATATCTTACATAATGCAGATTGTGAAATAAGCAGAGCTCATCTTGGTCACCCTCTTGGTCATTGTTAAACTTCTATTATTGGTTTATTACACCTCTTACTGCACTTGTGCAAGAAAACCAAGTGTGCTTTGTTTCATGATTCCAAGTTTGGGGCCTCAATACAAAGAAACTTTTGAATAGAAGATTTTCAAATAATGAATCTCAAATTCATAGATGTAAGCATGATTTATTGGGCTTCTAGTCCAGCTGATGTTATGTTCTACATCACATTTTACATCCTACATCAATGCAACACAACAAATTAGATAACAAGGAAACAGCACAAGATAACACAACATCTACAGGCATCACTACCAGATAACCACTAAGACATCTCAAAACATTATAAAAAGTTTTAACAAATGTTGCACGTTTGGTATTGGTCCTATAAAGAAAAGAACAATCAGTTCAGAGCCCAGAGAAGCAAAGCTGATCTGGAGGGTTGATCCTCCAATCAGCACTGCTTTCCAGAAAAGGTGAGCTGATGTGGCCCTGGTCATACACAGTCAAAATAGAAGTACCTACCATTCCTGATATCTTATTTTAGGAAAATTACTTATAAAAATTGAGAAAAATATCAAAAGAAAACCATTATAAAAATTATTCTATTGACTTTTCTGATGTACAGACCAGAAAATGGATAAAAAGTTGCAGGGAGCTTCCTAAATTAGACAGATATCAGTGACATTCAGAGAGAGTTGTGACTGTGCAATTTTAACACCAGATCTCATTACATTTTGTTTCTCATTTGCGATATATAAATATTTGAGGAGTGAATGGAGTAAGCTGCTGTTGGAAAAAAACAAGGGACATATTTTCCATGTTTTCGAGACTTATATGTACACCCGGCCATCTCTTTGCCTCATGTGGCCCATAGAATGATCTCTTAGAATGAGCATGTTTGATGACAGAAAATGACATTTAGCATTAGCAGTATGGATACAGTAAAACATTCATGTGTGTGAATTCTGAATAAATAATCTAAAAGCAAACCCTAAATATCTACGTGGGTATGAGCATATTCAAGTGTCGATCATTTGTTTTTATACCGTCCCAAATGCATTATTTGGCTGTACAGTCAAATATTACATACATCCACCTGCATTTTAAGATGCAACAGGAAAGACCGATCTTACAAATACTCTCCAAAACATTAATAATGGTTACATGCAGCTTATCTATGTTTACTTGAAAAGCCACAACACAACATGTGGCTGCCTGTTCTTTTTTTGATCATTAGATTGCCAGCTAAATATCACGGATAGATTTTTTTTTTTGCGCCTCCTTGATGCCGACCAGCACGAGACTATCTGGTTATAAACTCTGAAAATGACTAGTTTTGTTTTTTTATCAGAGTGTGGTGGGGCCCAAAATTTGTTCAGGCCGATTTGTCATCATCCTCATCATTAACATTCATCAGAAAAATGCCAAGTGTGTTGTACCAAAACAGGTGATTTTTTTTAAAGTTCGTGGATCACTTTGCATAGATAATTGTTTTGCATCAAGGTTCTGTGTTTCATTTTAGATTTTTTCTCACACTTCAGCAGTTTCTTGCACCCCCACTACATGGAAGCGAGCCTCATGGTCCTCATGTACCGTAAGGTGACACACACCTAAAAAAACCCCCAAAAGGTCAAACATTCCACAGACTTGTAGGATAGTAGTCTTCAATGTCAATCTGACTGGAGTGTATGTGCATGCTGGCTTTTGATCGATGCATAAAGGAGATGGAAACCACTGAAAGCATCTAATTTACATCCAATAACAGGGGATATAAAGAAGTAAACATGATTTCGGATAAACACTCTTGCTCAACCCTAGCAACATTTGACAGACATTTCTCTTTCCTTTTTAATCCAACACTTGAATGCTTTAGAATAATCTTTGAACAACCCACTGAGACAGCTGGTGTCAGAAGCTGTCGCCCTTCCTGAGTACGTAAAGAGAGGGTGTATGAAGGATGCACATTCAGCGGCAAAAATAAGGATCCTGTGTTTAAGAAGGCTGTTGGACCCGTCTAGTACACGTGCAAGAGCTGTGGGACATTTAACAGGACCACTACTCGTGACAAAACCTGAAAGTGCTTCTTGGGACTCACCTCTGAAGAACGACTTAAGATCAGAGGAAAAAAGAGACGTAAGAGACAGCCATCATCTGATTTCTCCTTCCTCTAGATTTAGTTCTGGAGCTGATCTGAGACCAAACATTAGTATGGCTTAGTGTGCCTTACATTTACAGCATGCTACACACACAAAATATTACACATCTGGAAAACAAACCAAAAAAATAAATAAAAGTCTCAAAAATACTTTTTAAAATTTGGAGATCAAAGTCAAACATTTAGATGATCAAGGTTCTAACAAAATACATTTAATAATCAGACAACCCCCTTCACCAGTCAACCACAGAAGTCTTCAAATACATGGTCATTTGGACAAAGTAAACTTGCACCCTTGTATGTATGCCTACGAACCAAATGAAAGCTTCTTAGTCAGGTAATTCTGTATATTTTGTGTATTTTTATTTGGACAGCCAGACATGCAAGCTCTTTAGAAATATAGAATATTTAGTGTGGCCATGAAAATGTGGGAAGCTTTGTAACTGCTTTGACATGATCCCCTTTTCAAATGCATGTGAAAATAAACTGGTTTGTTTGGCAGCAATCAGAAAAAAATGATCATGTTTGTTTTTTCTTTTCATTACAACATGCCATGCAATTAGTAAATTACATAAAAACACTTGATTTTTGTAGTTTAATGGTGAAAAATACGTTTGTAAGCATGACAAGAGGAACAACTGTGACATAAAGATCGGGTTTAAATTATTGCTCAAAATCCCTCAAGTGTGTTGGCTTATTTAAGTTCTTTAGACGGAGCATTTCACAGGTAGACGGCTATTTCAATCACTGTAGCACCTGTGTGGTCATTGCCTGTCAGTTAAAAGATGGTAAAATACACACAAAAGCCATGCAAAGGCAAAGAATTTACGGCATAACCATTAGACACCTGTTCTATAAAGTCCTAGTATGTGCAAAGAAGTCATACCAGAAGTTTTTTTTTTTTCAAAGTGTTTGATTTGCATGGTGATTTTTTAAAATTCTGACTTGATTTCAGAAACCCAAAAATTAAATTTCAAATTTCAAACTTTTTATCTTTAATTGAAAATAATCATGATCGTAATCAAGTTTACGATGAATGAGTGTACACTTCTAAATGAAACTTTAAGCAATGTGAATCTCTGTGGTGGGATAGGTTTTATTCCTGCTTTTTCCATTATTTACATCCTCTGCAGGGTTTTCTGCAGCATAGCAGGATGTAAAGCTCAAAATAAAGAGCCTAAACCAAGAGAAGACCCATGGAATTAACTCAATTCCAGTTTTGAAGTGACCTTAAAGTAGTTTTGCATATTTTTGGGCATCTTGTCCCTTTCTGATTTGTTTAAACTGTCCTCAAATCTTCCAAAAACTCCTAATTTACACGTCTGTCGTGGTAAAAAACGGACTGCACCTTTTGAAGCTTGCACATTTAAAGAGATTTACCTATCAATTTCATAGATCTAAATCTAAAAACAAAACACTGAGACTAACAGATGCAGAGCATTGAGTTATTCCTGATAGAAGCATTTAATAATCAGTAAGCAACTTTAAACCATAAAAATAAAATAAGGTCAGTTGACACAGTACATAAGATCAATGAGTTTGCCCTGAGGCACTTGGTAGTGGATGTGATAAAACTAATAAATACACTACCTTTCTTGTCATAGGAGTCATACATTTTGTCACAAAAGTACTCAAAGTTGCATTCAAATTGTCAATTCAAAAGTAATGCACAAGGTGAGACTCACATTGACAATCATAATCCTTCTAGTGTTAATCTAGAGTTTAGTGTCTGTTACAGTAACAATGGTGAATATTAAAAATGCTACAGAACAGGTTAACAGCACAATATACAGTATGTTTAAGTAGGATCAAGAACTACAATTGGTCCTTTTTTTTAATTTTGTTTTTTAGGACGGGGCAGGGAGATAAGAAAGAGACCAGAACAGATGGCCCGATAGAGGAGGGAGCTGGGAACTGACATAAAAAAAAACAAGGGAAAAAAAGAAAAAACGAAATCCTACTGAGGATAGTTGTTCTGTTGCCGGCGCTTTGCCGACCTCATTTTCTCAAAGCGTGACTCCATCTCCTCTAGGACTTTGGGGGTGTACCTTACTACCAGCTTTACTGTGCCCTGAGCTGCTTTGAGGAGTTCCACAGCTTTCTCGTGGTGCTCCCCTTCCACGCTCTGAAAAAGAAACAACACATGGAAAAACAAGGTAAGATAACATAAGTGACATAACTATAAGGATGTCTACATGCTCCCATCTACAGTATTCACTGTGTGCTATTAATGTCAAGCTAATTTCCCTTCAGGGATGAATAAAGCAATCTATCTATCTATCTATCTATCTATCTATCTATCTATCTATCTATC